GGATTTTCAAGGGAAAATAATGCTTGACCAATCTGATAGCCTTCTATGATGTCTACTATGGCTGGGCAGATAACAAGAGAGCAGTGGATATAGTGTGCCTTGGCTTCAGTGCAAGGATTTTGACACTGTATCTCATAAAATCCTCATGGCTATGTTTAGGAGGTGTGGGATGGATGGGTGCACAGTTAGGTGGATTGAGAACTGGCTGGTGGAGCTTGGAGGGTTGTAATCATTAGTGCTAAGTCTAGCTGGGGGCTTGTAGCCCTGTAGCTAGTAATATCTCCCAGGGTATGATACTGAGTCCAGTCTTGTTCAACATGTTCATCAATGACCTGGATGAAGGGGCAGAGTGCATCCTCAGCAATTTTGCAGATGATACAAAACTGGGAGGAGTGGCTGACGCAGAAGGTTGTGCTGCCGTTCAGTGAGACCAGGACGGACTGGAGACTTGGGCAGGGAGGAGCATTAAGAGGTTCAACAAGGGCAAGTGCAGAGTCCAGCACGTGGGGAGCAACAACTGCATGCATCAGGTCAGGTTGGGGGCTGATCTACTTGGAAGGAGCTCTGTGGATAAGGACTTAGGTGTTTGGTGGACAAGAGGCTGACAACGAGCCAATATTGTGCTCTTATGATCAAGAAAGCCAATGGTATCTTGGAATGTATTTAAAAAAAATATGGCCAGCAGATTGAGAGTGGTCCTCTCACCTCTGCTTTGCCCTAATGGTGTTACATTAGGAGTTCTGTGTCCAGTTCTGGGCTCCCCAGGTCAAGAAAGACAGCTACTGGAATGAGTGCAGCAGAGGGCTACAAAGATGATTAGGGGCTTCGGAGCATCTGCTGTGTGGGGAAAGGCTGGAAGAAGTAGGACTGTGTTCACCTTGGAGAAGAATGAGGGGAGTTCTTATTAATGCTTAAAAATATCTAAGGAGCGGGAATGGTGGCACACTCACTGCTGGTGCCCAGTGACAGGACATAGCACAGCAAGCACTAAGTGGAACATAGGAAGTTCCATACAAATATGAGAAAGAACATCTTTACTTTGAGAGTGACAGAGCACTGGAACTGGCTGCCCAGGGGTGGTGGAGTTTCTGCTCTGGAGTTATTCAAAACCGACCTGAACACTTTCCCTGAACCTACTGCAGGGAACAGCTTTAGCAGAGGAGTTGGGTGATCTCCAGAGGTCCCTTCCAAACCCCTAAGATTCTGTGATTGTTTTTAATAGTCCAGTCCTCCTTGACGTGGAAGCAGATGAAAAGTTAGAGAACAAAAATAGGGAGAACTTAAATACGTGATTTGAGGAAGTGATTCCACCCCAGTTACTTTGAGGCTGGCCATAACTGGGAGACTACTCAGTGAATGTGCCTCAAATCAGTGATGTTCCCCACCATGATTGTTCAGACAACGTGAAGTTTGGGGAAGAAAAACCAAACCCTGTCTGGAGACCCAGCACTGTAGTTGATTGTCCAGGTGATACAACTTTACCAGAACCATTCTGATGTGGATTTTTTCCCCTGTTTTTGCTGTAAATGCTCTGTTCATTCATCAGCTTTCACTTTGTAGCTTATGGCAAAACCTTCCTTGACGGTGATAAACTGCACTGGTTTGTGCAAAAAGTGTTCTGAAAGCTTACCTAGACCAGTTCTCAGACTATTTGATTGTTCAACTTTATCCTGCTGTTGGTAAGGCAGATTACATGAAATGTGAAAGAGAGATTTAAATTCTTGTCTTTACTAACACTGTATAAATTTCAAGCTGTTGTTTCGAAAATGCTTTATGGGTTTGTTTTTGTGAAATGTTGTCTTGAACAAAATGGGCTTAGAAGAAAGAGGTGTGTCTGGGATGAGAACTGAGAGTTATATCTCATCTTTTTTTAGGCTAGTGCCCTTTTTCATGGATTTTTAATTTCTATGGCTCCATAAACTTGGGATGCTTTCTGCACAGTAGAGGTGGTGTGGCTCTGGTGTACTTGCAGAAAGTACTATACTGGTAGATAGGAAATGCAGGTGTGAACATCTGAATGTTGTGTTCAGGAATTAATGTGTCCTACCTAGGCTAGTAAAGGCAGGCAGGTTTTTATCTTTGCTGATCTATTTGTAGATTGGGCCATTTAAGTAGAGTGGTATGTGGTTTGTTCATGTGAGTAGCTTTGGAAGTGTTTGATGTAGAAGCGTTTCAGATTTTTGCTGAAGTGGTGTGTTGGTGTTTTTTGGTTTTAGTACTTACTGTGAACTGTGCTTTACTTATGAAATCTTTTGTAGCATTGTATGATAAGTGTCAAACATTGGCTTGTAAAACGTATTAAACATTAACTGTTTGAAACTTATTAAGCTAGTATAGTACTTTCTCTGCTTTGCAATTGGCTCTTACCAGTGCTATATTGTCATCAAAATCTGAATTATCTGCAGAACTCTGAAATTACTGCATACTAAAACTTGCTCTTTAGATACTTATCCACTACAGATACAGAAGCAGTACTGCTGTGCCATTAAAAAGTAATAGACTCACTGTGGTTGAGAGGCATGTTTGGAAGTGAAATGGTGAGTTATTTTTTTGAGACTGAAGTCTGTCAAGAAGGCATTAGGTCACAGATGTGCAGGCAAACATCTGTAACCTGTGCTTGAAAGAAGAGTCTCTTAAATGAATTTTATAGCTTGCACTTCAGAAAACACTAATACACATTTCTGATTGTCTCTGGTATTTCCTTCTTAAAACCTCATTTTATGAAGAAACTTCAATGCACCTACAAGCATCTGCTTACAAGCAAGTATTGGCAAACAATCTGTTTTTTGGAGAGTTTGTTAGTAAAGTTGAAGTGCTTTGCAAATGCAGGTCGTGTATGGATCAAATATGATTTTAAGAGCAGCAGCAAAACACATTAACTCATTTCTTAATTCATCAAAACACATGAACTCGTTTCTTAATTCATTTAGAAGCTGTCTGTGCTTCTTTGCAGAAGAGTATATATAACTCCATGGTGCTTGCTGCTTCAGCACTCGGTTTGAGCCTGGGGGCAGCAGTCTACCTCTGTTGTGCCTGTTCCCTCTGTTTTCCAGTTGCCATACTTCTTGCTGTTCCTGCTGATTGATTCTCTCTCATGTTACCTATTTAGGGAGGGATTGTGTTCTCTGGGTTACATAACACTACCATAGCAGTACTATCCAATTGCCAGAAATGTTTACATCAAGCTTAAATTTACACTTCACTTTGTGTAAGCCAGAAATCCAGAATTTCAGTGTATCCTGAGCACTTCACATTCATTTAAAATATAAACTAAGTAAAGACAAAATTTGTTGAAAATTTACCTTCTATTACTTCTGCTGGAATGTAGAATGCATTCTCCATTTATTGTGTTTTCTATATTGAAGACTTGTTTACAAGCGATACTAAAATAATTTCCATCCATTTGTATCAAGCATTCAGTTTTTCCTAGATTAAAAATACAATACTAATGTAGCTCCCTAAGCTTTGTTTCACTTGAGGGGTATTTGATGTTATGCCTAAATATTCAGAAAGAATATTCAGAAGAACACAGATTTTCTGTTTGATAGAGTCATAGTAGCACTAAGATGCCACAGGTGATCCACTTATGTTTTGAGGAGTGTACTAAGGGATGCGCAGAAGTTGAGTATTTCTGATTGGAGCAGAAACTGAAGAAGATGAGGGCAGTTTGGTGACAGTATCATTTGATCATTTATGTGCATTAGCTTTGCATAGATCTTTAATGCATTTACTGGTGACCTCAGTCATCTACTTTTCTGCTGCAAGCAGAGTCAACAGTGAGTTCTTTAGTCTTACATCACCTGTGACTAAACCACTGTCCTTGCTTTCCTTTGTGAGTCTTTATGCTTATGTAGTAGTAGAAGCTTTTCAAGACTACCAATCCTGCAGCCAGCTGTTAACTCACAGTGCCTGTGCTCCCAGTTCCTTTTCCTTTGCCCTCAGTTTTGTAGTCACTCTTGTATGAGGTTGTCTTTAGTAAGCAGGGATCGGATGCCAGTAAGAGTAGGTAGTAGTAATGATTTAAACAAAACAAAAAAAGGAATAACAAACAGTAGTAGCAATGATACTGTAATAGTTGAAGGATCAGAGGAACCTTGGCAGTCTCTTAACACTGAATCTGTCTAAGCCATCTTTGCCCGCTTATTTGGCAGCAGGTGGGTGTCTGCTTTACAGAAGGGAATTTCCAGCTAGTTTGACCTGCCACTACCTCCTAGTGCTAGTGCTTGATTCAAACCCAGCTGGCTCTGACATCTCCTTCAGCTAAGATGCTTGCTTCTTCTACCTGTCAATTCTAATATTGACTAAATGGGAAAAATAAATAAACCAAGTAGAAAATAGCTTAGCATGCCAACATTGTTAAGAGCTGTAGAGATTTTTTTGAAGAGATTATTTTGTCCATTCCTTCCAGATAAAGCAGTCCCAAATTCACAATAATTTTGTCTGTCCTGGTTGACTTTTTCACTGTTTAATTCCCTCGTTTTATCAACAGTTTTCTTTATTCATTCAGAATGTCATTAGACATTTTCTGTATTTTCCTTTTTCAATAACTGTAATGTCAAAATTTTCAGCAGCAGCCTTTTCATGTATTTAGCTTTGTATGGGACTTGAATTATGCAAAAGCTGAAAGATGCAACTGCCAGTTGGATATGATTCCAAACTAGCAGTAACAAACTTTGTATTGTGTTTAATAACTTCACAGGATTTCTCGGGTAGTGATAAAAGTTTGATGTGATTTTTTCAGTGATATAATTGCCATACAAGAAAAGTGTATGACAGATTTGAAAAAGGAATTATGTAACTCTGATTTTTTTTTTCTTATTGAGCAGAAGATTTTAGATAAGCAGCTGAGAGAGCTATTTGAATAATCTACACATTATAGACATACAGAGATTGGTTTTAGGCGTTATTTTTCTAGGAAGATATATTAATGTGCAATAGAACACTTACTGTGGAAACTGCATGTGAAATGCTTTTAAAACAAAAATAATTTTTTTTAATAGGTCTTACAAGAAGCCTGTCTATAACTTCAGCTGAGTCAGCATTTGAAAAAGCTCAAGGAGAGAGAGTTACATTGCCGTGTACTTTTGTACTCTCAGACGAGGATGTAGGCACACTAGATATTGAGTGGGTCTTGATACCAGCAGATATTCAGAAGAAAGAAGAAACAGTAAGTAAAAACTTTAATTTTTGGCAGCTCTGATTGAGTTACTAAACTAGTTCAACGTGTGAACTTCAGTAGTGACTCTTTCGACTTTTGCTTCTTCAAGACGGCATGCGTGTGGTCTTAAACTACTTTGAAGCACCAAGGTGGAAGTTTTGAAATAGTAAGAATGTTGCAGTATTTTGTACTTAATCCTCTACTAACTGTAAACAACTCTAAAATTAAAAATGATTCAGAGAACAGAAGACTTTGCTCTTGTACACCTACATTATTTACCCTGATTGAGGGTAGTCATTCATGAGAATTTGGTCTTAAATGTACTATGTCTTTGTTAGATATTAACTATTTCATTTATTCTGAAGTCTGAAAACTTCTTTAGCAGAGATTTTACAGAATGAAGATTAGATAAATAGTTTTTTTTTTTTTTTTTTTTTTTAAAAAAAAAAAAGACAGTGTTGACATCCTGTCACCTGAGCAGGTATTGCGTTGCAGTATTTCTTAGAGCATTTTGTGTGGTGTTATTTAGAAAAAAAAGGTACATCATGCCCTGGGATTAATTTAAGCAGTAAAGAGAAGTTGCTAAAAATCTGAAGATGCTTTGGTTTTTTTTGTTTTTTGTTTTTTTTTGGTGTTTTTTTTTTTTTTTTTTTTTTCTTCAAATGCTTATATGTGAAGTAGATTCCTGAATTCCTATATTTTTTCTTTTACAGATAATTCTGTATTCTGGAGATAGGATTTATAATCATTATTATCCTGCTCTGAGTGGGCGGTTGCAATTTACTAGTTCTGATCCCAAATCTGGTGATGGTTCAGTGGATATCTTGAATTTAAAGTCAGCAGATACTGGCACATACCAGTGCAAAGTGAAGAAGGCTCCTGGAGTTGAAAGCCAAAAAATACAGCTGAATGTACTTGGTAAGCAAGTTTGTTTTTTTTTCTTTCTTGAGTTTTCAATGGCATATTTGTGTTTATGCTATCCTTCATTTGATATATACAATGAAAACGTATGTAGGGCAAAGTCACACTGAATCTACAATAGTGCATCCATTATTAAGTCTTCAGGACAGGGGCAGGCAAAGGAAATAATGGAGTTGATGAGCGTTTAAAAAAATTTTGCATTTGATTTGTATTTCATAGAATTTTTTTCATTCTTACAAAGGCTTTTTTGTACAAAATTTCTATAGTAAAATGTGCTGATGAACTAAAACATTACTATTGTGATTGTGACTTATTAATTCAGTAATATTTTGTTTATCAGTAAAGCCAGCAAGCACTAAATGCTCCATTGAAGGATCACAGGAGATTGGAAAGGACATTACATTGAAGTGTGCATCACAAGAAGGAACCCCACTTCTGTATTATGACTGGAGAAGAGTAGTAACTGGCACACAAGGACTTCCTGCAACTTCCGTGCTAAGTATTGTCAAGCTTTAAGTATTTCAGAATAATGAATAATAAAGATTGTATTCATATTTTTGACATATTTTGACTTGTTAGCAGCTTTATGCATGCTTTTAATATAGAGCAGTATAGAGAAGTCACTTCTATCCTTTCAGTGGATAATAAAACTGACATTTAAACAAGCTAATCCAAGTTGAGAGATATCTTTACCATTAGGTTTGCAGGATCATGCTCATCTCTGCATATATGTGTTTTGACTGCTCTAGCTTGCTGATTCTTAGCTGCTTTTCTGTTCATGTGGATGGGGTAAAGAATCAGAATAAAATCTAGACCAGTGGTTTGAACTGCGTTTTCGAAACCAGAAATGAAACTTGAATTTTAGTAGGGATTGAAGAGAGAGCTTCAATTCCTGATCAAGTTAATGAACTGCTTAGTTATGAAGGGGAGAGAATACATATCTGTAGAAGAAAAATTGTCATGAGTAAAGGAAAAGAGAAGGTTGTTTCTCTTCTTATGTGCTAACATCCAGGAAAGAATTTTCTTAAAAATGTTGTGTGGTAAATTGAGAATTATGGCAATATTGGATTTTTTTCTTGTGAAAACTTAATTGCTGAAGTTTATTAGAAAAATTGATTTTACTCATTTTGTCAGTTCAGTTCATTGGTAGTCTGTGAGTTCTGACTTTGAAAGTTATTCTGGAATATTTTATGTGATTACGCATCTGAAAAACCTTGTGCTGTTCTTCTTGAGCTTGCCTTGTGGTAGTGCTATTTGATATGTCCTATTTCTTGTTTTGACAACAAGCAGTTAGTTACTAGTGTCTCTGTGTATCACTCAGGGCCTTAAGTTTCTATTGTTCTCTCTTCATCCACATTGCAAGTTTGTCTCATAAGTAAACTTGACAGTTTTAGTGCTGAACAAGAATGAGGAAGTATACGAAAATGGTGTGTAACATCATAAAGCTACTGTTGCTTCGGGTTTGGGATTGTAGGATCCTGAGCACTGAATGTACTGTCAAGAACCTAGATGCTGCTTAACTTCAGCTGAAAGAGCTAGGTCTTTGTGAGATTCTTTCTTACTGTGATGTAATCCCTTGCCAGCTTTGGGTTTAAGTGCTGATGGCAAATCTATGAGCGGTCTAAGCGTTTAAGCCATTTGAAGTTCATATAGTAAAATCTCAAAGGTAGTTACCAGTTGCTTTAAAAGCCTTAAGAAGAAGCTTTTTCTGTTTTCACTCTCTCAGCCTATCTAGAGTTAGATGGTCACCCACTGGATAAGCCTTTTGTGTTGAAACAAAACACGAGGTTAGGGTGAGAGAACTTGCTGTTTTAAGCATCCTTTTTTTTTTCCATTGACAGAGCAATTTGAAGGCTTTAATGCTATAGTCAATTTCTGTGGCATAAATTTCTACTAAAGTAAAAGGCTTTTGCAAATAGTAGCATTCTGTGGTGTAGTAAACTTGTGGTTTTATTGTTTTCAGTGTGGCGTTTTTAGTTAGGATTTCATGTATGTGCTTGATTAATCTATTGCACTGAATCGGAAATTAAGCTTCAGTAAATGGTAAACCATTGCTTTTTATTCTTTGTAGATAAAAATACAGGGGAGCTTCTTTTGAAAAATGCCTCTAAGGACTATTCTGGTACATACAGTTGTGTTGCTTCAAACCGAGTTGGCACAGATGAATGTTCTGTTGAGCTGAATGTCACCCCTCGTAAGTGTTCGCTACGTAGTAGTCACATAGCATTTTATGTATTTGAATAATCTTGTTTCTCTTTAAAAGTTTAAAAGCAACAAACACTGTTTTGCAGCTGAGGGTTGCTGCTTTAATTTTGTACTTTGCCAAAAATTAGATTTTTTTTTTTCTTTGTGTAGAAAGATACAGTTCTCCTGTCATTTTAAATCATAGAATTGAAATTTACCTCTATTTCAACTGATAGATTAAGTTTGATGTTTAAATGCTATTGTAATTTATCTATTCTAGCTATAAATACAGCTGGTGTAATTGCTGGAGCTATTCTGGGAACTCTGTTGGGTCTTGCCTTATTGGCTTTTCTTGTCTTCTGTTGCTGTAAGAAGCATAGAGAGAAGAAATATGAGAAAGAAGTACATCATGAAATCAGGTAATGACATGCCTACCTTGAGGTACTGCTTGAAAATTAACGTGTCTTTCTGCAAGTGTCTTTTCTGTTTCAATCTGGTAAATTTATTAAAACACTAACAATTTATCTGAGAACTTGTTTTGAATATGGTGTAGGTAGTCAAGTCTACCTACTTTCAGTAAAGATCTTAAAGAAAATGAAAACTTTATTTTATTTTTTTTTTAACAAACAACATTTTTGTCTGCTGAGTCAGAATGAAAAGAAACAAATGGAAACGTTATTATGTAAGCTGCTGCATAGTAGTAATAGTGACTGAACTCTTGTTGTGCAACTGTTCTCTCTTTTCTTTCAGAGAAGATGTTCTGCCTCCAAAAAGTCGCAGTTCAACAGCGCGCAGCTACATAGGCAGCAATCGTTCTTCTCTGGGTTCAATGTCTCCCTCAAATATGGAAGGATACTCCAAAACTCCATATAGCCAGGTTCCAAGTGAAGACTTTGAACGTGCTTCTGGTCAAAACCAAACCATTGCATCTTCAAAGGTAGCTGCACCTAATTTAAGTAGAATGGGAGCTGTCCCTGTGATGATTCCAGCACAAAGCAAAGATGGGTCCATAGTATGAAATATTAATTTAAGACCTGTTTTTTTTTTTTTTTTTTAAGTGTTTGTTGTAAGTATTAGAGAGAACTACAGTATTCCAACCCTCATTTAAACAATGGCATGCAATTTTCCTTGAAGAAAATGTGTAGGTTTGAAAAGCCACCAATTCTCATTTTTAATTTTAAACTTCTTAGTGTGTAACAGCTGAACTATTGAAAGTGTGAAAATTCCTAAAATATCAGGTTTGGATTTCTGGTGGCTTACTGAAGAGACACTATTAGCTGATGTGCAGCTTTCAGAATCTGAAAGAGCAACACAACTGAGAAGTAACTGTTTCATATGTAGACTGTGAAATTCCTCAGTTCTTGAAGCTTTATTCTCAATCTTGGAGTAGCAGGACTATTTTAATTTGGCCACTGTCTGATGAACTTTCAGTGGGGCTGAAATACTGAGGATGAATTTGAATTCTGCTCAAACTCAGAGGATTTATGCAGTTCTTTAAATTGGTAATGTTTGTCTGGAGTGTTTCCTGAGTTAGTATCTCAGGGACTGCCAGTCATTTGGATGGTTCAGTTAATTTAATGAATCTCTTCTGAGTTTAAAGTCACAGAGAGTAGAAATGTGAAAGGAGATTTTGCAAGCTCCTTGTAATCAGAATTTTACTACAATAACTAATTCTAGCAGTGTCAGATAATTAATTTATCCTATGTAAACAAGTTTTATCAGTTTGTTACTAGTGGTATCTGAGTTCTCAAATCTATAGCTCAACTGTTACATTGTCAGAGTGAACATGCACCTCTGCAGGTCTTAAGTTAGCTGTATCTCACGTTTTCCAAAGTCTGCCTTAGATTCTAAGGCAGTGTTCTTTTCCTAAACCAAGTACCTAGAAGTTTCATGGGGCTTTATTAAAGCTATTAAGTAACTGGTATTTGATAGTTGCTCTTGGTCTAACATCACTTCAGAAAAATCTTTTCCAGGTTCAGGTAAGCAATAGGTAGTCTAAAGAGAATGATGCATTTTAGTGTGAATTTGCAAGGAATTCACTTCCTCACTTCTTGTCTGTTCAATAACCCTAAATATTCTTAATAGATGTTTAGAATTCTCATCAGCAAGAGCTTCATACAACCAGAGTCTAAGAGAACATAGTTACCCAGAGTTGTTGATAGGAACGTGATGTTTGAAGAGTTAATTTAAAAAAAAAAAAAAAAAAAAGCCATTGCATTTTTGCAAACTTAAAACATTACAGGAGAAATAGAATAATTCCTGATCTTAATTGCACACCTACTTAAAGGTAATTGATAGTTTCTGATGAGTGATATTGTATATCTGTAACAGCTAGATTTAAAGTTAAATGCTGTTTGAATCTTTGTTTTTTTTATTTTTACTTCCCGTTTACTAACCTCTTTCTCATCTTGTGCTTGGGAGTGTAGGGAGGAATCCCTTCAGCTTATTCTAGGTAAAGATGTTGAATTGCCCGTTAGTTTGGAAAACTCTAAATGAATATAGTATGTGGCACAGAGGTTGATGAAGAAAATATTTGAAGAGCCTGTTGAAAGGTATATAATAGGAGTGTTTGTATGTAGCAGCAGTGTGAGATAAGAATTCCTCAAACTTCTAGGCTTCGTGTTCTGCTTTCTTGTAGCTGGTTAATTAGGTCTGTGATAAGTTATTTGACTTTCTATTAAATAATTGTCTTTTGTGTAGTTAGATGTACAATTTTTGGTTGGCTCTGTTAATGTAGAAAACATACCCTTCATACTGAATTTAGATACTTGAATGGCTACTAAGTGTTCTAGACTTAACAATTTTACACATTTGGAACTTTTTTAGATTGTAAACTTATACTGTTAGAGATTGGACTTTTTATCTTTCATGTGTGCCTTTTCAATAAACTTTGCCTGATTGTATCTTCAGTTTTTATGAAATTTCTGGTGCCTAAATTTACTGTTTGGACAGGTGCTTAGATGATGGTACAATTTTTAAAACATGACACTGTGATCTGATTTCTTGATTCTTATGTACTATTTATACCTCTTCTTGCCTGTTTTTTGGATGTGATTTCAGTGGCTCTCTGTATTGTTCTGTATTTCAAAATGTGAGTTACTCCTTCAATTGATAATTACGATGTGTTTATATTCCTGAAAACTGTTCAGTTGTACTAATTAGATGGATGATTGACTCTCACTTGTGTGGTGAATAATAGGTTTAGAAACTGTGCCAAACACATGCTTGTGAAGAACAATAAATGAGGAGACATCTTCTTGCATCCAATTACTATGATAGAAGAGACTTTAGGATATTTTAATCGTAATCTGATTGTTTATCTTGAAACTAAGGCCTTTCCTAAATGAAAGGGTGTGGTTATTTGGATCATAAATAAAAGCTGAGTACTAGAACTAGACCTGAGTCACAGACTGAGAAATAGCTAGAGACCTAAGACCTTTGCAGGCAGCAAACCTACGGAACTTAGTTCTTAGCCATCTATGGACATATGTGAGATTAGGTGTGGCTTTTTTCTTTTCTTTTTTTCTTTTTTCTTTTCTTTTTTTTTTTTTTTTTTTTTTTTGCCCTGTGAGTCCGTGCTTTCCATCAGGTAAGCCCTGGGACACTCAAGAATAGTTATCTCACTCAAACATACAGATTGGAGTTTACACATACTTTAATGCTCTGTCAGATTGCACAAAACAATAAATTGACAGAATGAAAGGACAGCATGATATGCCCTAAGAGCCTAGCTGTTGGGCTTAGTAGCCTTGGCAGTGTCTGTCTATTTATGTACTGGCATGGAAAATAAAAAGAATGGAATCTGACATAGTCCGTATCTGAAATAAAGAACCTCTGACTTGGGGTAAGCTTTCCCTCAAGTTGCTCTCATCATGCCTTTTTAAATGAATAAAACACTACAGCAACATAATAGCACTATTATAAATGATTTCTTCAGTCAGTGGATTCATAATTATAATTCAACACTGCATTATAATTCTCAAAAGCAGTTACTGTAGTTCAGCAGCAATTTTTAGCTGTGTAGGACACGAACTGAGGAATCACGAGGTGTCCGATACAGATAAACCTGCTAACAGAACTTCTGTGGGAGGTAACGGCAGCTGATATACCAGTTAGAAGGTGGCATTTGTACTGTCTCATGTTATTTAAAAAGAGGAAAAAAAAAAAAAGAGAGAAATAGAGGAGGGAGGCTTGATATCATTATGTAAATAGTCTGAATGAGCTCAAGAAATTACTAGATAATGCCATGACTGTGAACTTGCTTGTTAAGGATGACAGTGTAGAAGAAACCATTGAATTTTAGCATGGTGTGAATAGTGTTAGACTTGTAGTACTGTAGAGGTTATGTAACATTTGTCCATACACTACGAGCCTTTTCATAAACTTCTAAAATGGATATTTAAAGATAATTATGTGAATCTTCCTTACCTAAAAAAGAATACTTTTTTTTTTTTTTTTTTAACTATGTAGTGCACAGAAATGCCTTGTTGGAAGGGTAAAAGATAACTTTTGGAGCAAATGTACAGTGCATACATCGTTCTCTAATAGTCACGTTTGTATTAGATGTATGCTTCCTGCTTAATAGTACAAATAAGACTTGTTAATTGCAAGCTGTCTCTGTAATAATGAATATTGTATATTACTGTTTTCCAGGATAGCCTTTTGGTTTTGCTCTTAACTGTGTATATTCCAGATCACTTTAGATCGCTGTGGTAGTCTAAAGACACAATACTATTTGTATCACTTGAACCTTGTTTTATACACTTGATAGGTGCTTTCTAGGGCCCTTTGGGTGTTGGTCCTCTGGTGTGCAACACAGCTCAAATGAAATTGGAGCAATAACATTTCCTGGAATACAACATGTTGCAACATTGCTTTATACTTCTCGTGCACAAAGCATGAACTTGAATATTGATATGAATTTCAGTATATGAGGTTTTATATTCACATTTTTAGGGAATGGTATTATACAATGCAAGTACTGTGAGTGAATCTGTAAAAACAAATTCAAAATTTTAAAATGCTGTAGTTCCATGACAGACTTGTGTACTTTTTGAAATAAAACTGTTGGAGAAAACAGTAGTCTGTCTTTATTCTAAAGCAGCAGTTATGTATGCCTTCAGCTTTCTTTCTGTAATTAGAAGTGAACTAATAAATATGGCTGTGTATACCACACTGGCAGTAATCATTTATTGCTTCTTTTCCCCCCATTAATTTCAAAATAAAGGAAAATGAAACTGTTTATAAGTATTTTAAAACCTACAGTTTATATGAGAATTCTTACTGTAGGTACACTAATGCAGTGGTCAGTTTAAACAAATTCTGAAACAATAAAGTGGGAAGGATCTTAATTTTTGTCCTCTGTTATTTTAGCTAGAACTAAGTATTGCTGAATCTAATAAATTCTTATAAAATTCAAACAAGAATGTTTACACTAAAAATGTTTGGATAAAATGCTTGTTTTTATGCTGTCAACCAAATTTTATTTAAAAAAAAAAAAAAAAATTCAAGTGAAGTTGGCCTGGAATATTCTCTACCTCTTAACCTTGCAAACCAACTGATAATTTATCATTTAACTTATGCAAGTTCTCTAGTGTCATCTTGGGCACTTCCATTTAATCTCAGGAAAGAAAGCCTAGCAAGAACAATGTTTGTGTTATTATCATGTTCTGCGTTTACCACTGGAGGCCTAAATTACTTAGATTTAATGTATGCATATCTTCATATGATAATGCATACCTGTGCTGTGCCAGGTGCTTGTCATTTCTTAGTCTATGTCTTATATCTATTTAATGTGTATGCAAACAGAAGTTGTTAAATAGTAAGAGTATTACTAAGAGTAGAAGCCCTTTTTTATGTATTTCAAATTATGGTATTTGCTTAAATACAAAAGAAAACCTGATAAAAATGAAGATTTATGTTGTTGCTCTTTGTAGAACTTTCTCTACCTTTTTAACTTGTTAACTTAAAGGTTTCGGTTCTTTCACAGGTTGGCAGTTTTCTCTCAAACTTCAGTGCTTCAGCTGCTCCAGTGATTTTACTTAGAAACAGATAATTGTGAATCAGAGGAGCAGCTGGATGTGGGAATTCTAGCAAAACAGCCCTTCCTTGATAGTCTTGTAAAAGATGAGAGGACACTTATTAGGTAGTTTCATAAAATTTTTGTGGTCTTTACATATATAATCAGGCAATGCTTTGGGTAATGTTTTTTATAAGGTCTGTCTTGTTTCTTCACGAAGCTTGGACTTACTGTGAGTTTACTATTTCAAACTTCTTTGCAGGTGGAGGGGCTCTGTAATTACACTGGTAGGTAAGAAATTACTAGATCACTTTAGAAAACAGTTAATGCAAGCTACTTAGTCTTGCTTTTTTGTCTATGACAATTCTTATCCATAAAATCAAAAGAACAGAACTGCTTCTAAAGAAAATAGCTAATTAAGGAGCAAAAGTGAATTGAATGAATGGGAAAAGCTTGTCTAGACTGTCTATCTTTCCAGATCTCAAGATCTTTTAAATTCATAATTCAGTTGATGAATGACTATTCCCAGGTACTCAGTTCTGGGGAAGGGGAAGTTTTGTAAACAGGGATTCTGTAATGAGTTTATATCGCTATAAGTCAGTGCCACCTTCACGTACTGCTGCTTAGAATACTTAAATTCTCAGTTGTCTAGTTGTCCTTGTAGGCCAGGGAACTTTGAGTAAGAAAATTAATAATTAGGTAGCAGAGCTGATAGCTGTATTTTGGTGGTGGTTCTTTTTGTTTTGTGGATCAGTATAGGCCTTGAACTTTTTTTTTTTTTTTTTTTTTGCTTGTTTTCAATTGTACTGACTGGATGAAGGATACTTCTGCCATATTATTTAGAAAAAAATGCAGTTTTTTAGCTCATACCAAAGATCTTGATATGGTGTTAGGGGGAGTGGGAGGTGGGAGGGAAGGGATAGCGTTGCAAACAAGTTGAGTAAGTTGGTTATGTAATTTGATTATGTAACAATTTTAAAACAGCAATATTAGAATAGATGTTAACATCTGAAAGCACATCATTTTACTTTCAGTAATCTAATTTTTTCTTCAGGGAAAAACCTCTTGAGGCAGTATGTCCACTGGGAAGCTCAGAAAACTGTGTGATGCAATGACAGTTGTCCCATTTCTCAGGGCTGGAAGCTTTGGTTCTGTAAGCGGCAGGCAGGCAGGGTGGAAGTTGAGCTAAGTAGCTGAGGGGTAACAGACTTCTTTCCAGGAGTACTCTTTGATCTCCTTATTTCATATTCCTTGATAATACTTCAATTGCACAGAAGTGTGCAGCAGAGCATCCTTTCTCAGTGTTCAAGGTCTCTGCAGCTGTCAGTAGCAACTTGCAGCATCTTGCTAGTCGTGTGAATGGACAGCGTTTATAAGAAACTACTTGCTGAAGTCAAAACACTTGATCTGTGCCATTCTTATGCATAGGAGATTAAGATTTAAAAAAATAAAAAAGTTTTACTACAGATTTCTACTTACCTGTAGAAAAGCTCAAGTAGGAGAGAAACTGCTACCCTTAAACCAGAAGTAAAGGTAGCTGGAGGTAATGCATAAAAATTCCTGAATGGCTTGCAACTTCTGAATGAGATGGCAACTCTGGGGCACAGCTGGTGTTTTGTAGAACTTGTCAAAAAGCTTATGTTTTTGCTGCCAGCACTCTACTGTTTAGCCCAATAAATAGAATGTCCTTTTATGTCACTTCCAATACTTCCAAGAGTAGAAACAATTCATGTAAGCTTGGAGGAGCTGTGAAATACAAAATTAAGCTTGCAGTTACTTAATGTAGTCTAACCTGTTTCTTGTGGCCTTTGAGTACTCTGGGATTTTTCTTGTGTGCCAGTAGCTTCAAGTGGACTGTTTGGGGTTGCCCTAATTTTGTCCCTGTATTCTATAATCTAATGTGAAATTGCTTAAGAATTGCAATGCCTTGCTTCAGACTTGAGTTTTGGTGAAGGTCACTTCTTTATGGAACTTATTTGAATTTAATTACCTTGTTATTCCTGTGTAAGACAGAAAACTCAACATGTTTGAAGTGCAAAACTTGAAAAATGCTGTTCTCTCATGCTTGCTCCAGCTGGCTTACAAAAAAAAACAAAAAACAAACAAACAAAAAAAACACATATATATATATGGCTAAATATGAGCCCTTTGGACCAAAGTGATCCATTTTCTGTTTGAGAATACCGATTGCCCTCTGGTGGCTGACCTGTTAGCTGCCTTTAATCCTTTTGCTGATGCTAAAAGGCACTGCATAGTTGTACTGATGGCTAAGGAATGCTGTGTTCTGTCAAAAGAGAACACAGTAAATTTCTTAAACAGTTATTTTTCTAATTGTTTGTTCAGGAATATAGATTAAGAAAGTGACTGTTGCAATCTGCATCAATTAAGAAACTTTATTTCTCTGTATAAGATCTGACAAAGAGCTGTAAACTGTACAGGTATCATTAAAGGAAATGCGCAGCTGAGATATGAGTATAGGATTTGACAGATATTAACAGTTTTGATGCAAAATACTACTTCTGTTACCTTTACAAAGCCTATTGCTAAGCTGTAAGTACAAATTTGCTACATTCTTTATACTTCAAAAAAAAAAAAAAAAAAATATCACTGAAGCCTGATGGACTACTGTGGACCAGAGCTTAGTGATGATCCTTGAAATACCTGTTTTGCTAAGGCTGAAGTTAAGGTCAACAGCATTGCTTCTTCATTTGCAGGCCTTTCAGGGGAAAAAAAGTTTCTCAGACCTCTTTAATTATAGCAGTTGAATTTTTTTAAGAGGCAAGACAATGAAAAGTGTGGTTTTTGTAAAATAAAATAAAATAAATTAAAAAAAATACAGTTCTGATCATGCTAGGCTTGCCTAATTGGAAGGTATTGAAGTTAAATATTATTACATCTTCTTAAAATTGAAATTGTTGCTGTTTGAAGTTCAGTGGTATTATTTAAATAAGATATACCAATATGATATATTTTTTTTAATACTGGATGATTTGGGTAGGCAGGGCTGAACTTCAGACAACCTTCAAAAATACTTTATTCCTAGATGAAAGAGCTGAAAGCAGTGTTAGAGCCTTTGTGCTGAGCAGCCCTATTTTCCCCAAATTAGCATAATTTTCTTGCCCTCGGTTATACCTGGGCAAGCTATGATTTTAATCAGCACTCTGAGAGGGCTATTAACTGACAGTGAAAATTGGGTCATTACATTACACATGTGAATTTTATTCTGACAACATTCTGTGTCTGTGACAGCCATATTAGCAAGCTAACTTGCTGCTGGCTTTATGGTTTGTTCCTGAGGGGAAATTGCTGAACATGCAAGGAGCTATAGGACATCTTTAATGTGTGATGTGGCCAACAGATGTGCACTCACCTGCAGCAGTGACAATAACAAAATAGTTCCAAGGCACGGAAGTAGAGGATTAGAGTTGAAGTCCTGGCTATGTCATTACTTTGCCACATAATTTGTTTTTCTCATTTTTTTGAACACTGGGAACATCTCCTTATTTTTATCAGTTTTCACATCTCAGAATCACAGAATGGCTTGGGTTGGAAAGGATCTTAAAGATCATCTAGTTCCAACCTGCCTGCCAGGAACAGGGTTGTCAGCTACTAGATCCAGCTGCACAGGGCACCCAGAGAATGGAGATAATTCTGTGGACTGCTAGAGACTTTAGAACTAGATTTGCCTATCACTTTGCTTTTTTTTTTTTAAAAAAAAAAAAAAAAAAAAAAAAAAACTAGCCATACATACTTAAACTGACAAACTGAGATTTTCTTTCCTGTTGTTGCTTTATCACAGCTACATGAATAAGTCCTAGCTGCATGCAAAGCTTCATTTGCCAGTCTGCATTTTTCTTTTTTTCTTTTTTAAATAAAGATTTACTTAGATGAGGAGGAGAAGAAAATGAAGACTGAAAGTATCAGGACAGTACAGAAGGGAAAGCGGATTAGGTTGTATTTGTCTGATGTTGCCCTTCCAGCTCTCCTAAGCATTTGATTTTTACCTTCAACTTCTTCTGAACAAATGGGCGATCAAAAACTATCATTCTGTCTAAGCT